TCTAAGACAATTGTCTTCAAAATTTTTGTCCACACATTCTCCAAAAGACTTTTTGAAAAATTTTGTAGTTACTTTAATATTAACTCAAAATTAAAATTTTAACATTAAGCAATTGCAAAGGATATACTCTCCAGGCTACTGCAAATAAAACTCTTATACGTTTTAAATGTAGACACTGAAATGTAAATACTAGGTGACTGAATACACATCATCTTCCTACAAAAAGTAGGTCAAGTTGTTTGTCTTTAGCAGTTAGAAATATTCATTGTTCCTTTTATTCCTTAAACCAATATTTTGATTTTCCTTTCCAAAAGATTTCTATCCTAATTTATTTTATACTTTAAAGCCTTGAATTATGTCATTCTGCAATAAAATAACAATTTATTTTTAAATTTTCAATTTCCATAATTATCAAAGTTACCTTTACAAATAAAACTAGTAAAAATTGGGCAAAACAAATTTTGATAGTCACAAAGAATACAGTTTATTGGAAATGTTAATTCTTAGTAGGTTAGACAGGGCAGGTTTTCATAAAACTTTTAAAAAATTGAGGTAGTTTTAAATAAAACTAATACTTGTAAAATAACAAGGTGACAGGAGCATAGAGGAACCCAGAAGAAAAAATGAGCCATTCTCTCTGGTGGGTCTGGGAAGGGCTTCTCAGAGAAAATGTCATTCATATGGGATCTAAAAGATTAAAAGGCATTCTTTGGGCAAATAAAGTAGACAAAGAAAACTCAAGGCAGAAGGAACAGTGTGTGCAAAGTTAGGAAAAAGAGAAATGTACCCTATGTAGGCGACAGGTCTTTTTGGACATGATAAATTCGCGATGCCTATTAGATATAGAAATAAAATCTGAAGGAAATTCAGGGTTTTATTAGCAATTGAATTTAAGAATGCAAATTTCAGTGCATAGATTTGGGCTGCTGATAAACTGTATTCAAAGTTTATAAATCAACCCAAGCTTAGATGGGATCCTGTAGTAAGGTGGGGCAGAAAAGAGAATTATAAACACTGAGGACTGGAGCACTACAACATTTGAATGTCAGGAGAGAGAGAAAAACAGTAAAGGAGAGTGAAAAGGTGGCCAGGGATACCCCAGAAGCCAGGCAGAAAGAAAATGACCCTCCCTCAAATACTGCCACCTTGAGAAGGTCAGAAGTGAGAAATTACCATTTTTATTGCCTCCTTAATTCCAGGTTAAAGTGGCTTTCTAATATAAGAGCTTCCTAGAAATGATATTTAAAATTTCCTAAAGTTTTTTTTTCTTTGTCATCACTCTATATTTTTTCATTTCTTGTTTTATTAGATTACAGGTAGATAAATTGGCTGAGCAAAAACATCTGATTTTATGAGGTTTTTCTTTTTAGTCAAATACCTGACTACATTGTCAACTGTTCCATGGATATAAGGAAATAACATATATAATTCTATATGTATTTTAATTTCATGCTGTTTCCTCTTTCTCTCTTTTAGCCCTGCTGACTTGATTTTCTTTTCTTTCTTGTAAATTCTTTTCTGTCCTGCATATTTAATTGCAATTTGTATTTCATAGCTCAGTCTATTTTTTCTAACAAATACACTGATGTATCAAAATAACATATTAATCAAGCGTCTTTAGCTAAGGGATAATTCCCCTCTTCTGGCTCATGCTCTGTTTCCTCAGCCCTGAAACAAACCTGTCAAGGCATTGGTGCTGCTCAGGTAAACACATGAGAAAAACATGGTTAGCCTGGCAGTTTTTACTCTTGTGGATAATTATAAATTCCCCGGAACCCAAATGACTTTCTTATCAAGTCTCTTTTTTCTGAGATTACTGGTAAAACCTGAAGGTCCTTTCTCAAGGTATCTTAGATCTCAAGAGGAAATCCAAAGGTTTTGGGGTTAGGCCTCCTCAGGAAACAAGCAAAATCTTATAATCGCAATGACCTGGATGAAAAGTGAGCTTTGATCTGCTGTTCTTACTTCTTTTGGTGACAAAGACAATGAATTCCTACCTGGTAATGAGAGAGTAGAGCCTAACATGAAACCAACACCTTTCCACAGTGCCCTTTTGTTACTCAAAAACTGTATATTCTAGCCCTGGCCAGTGTGGCTCAGTTGATTGGAGAGTCATCCCATGCACCAAAAGGTTGCAAGTTTGATTCCCAGTCTGGGCACATACCTAGATTTTGGGTTTGTATGGGAGGCAACCTATCAGTGTTTCTCTTTTTCCCTTCCTCTTTCTCTAAAAATCAATAAAGATATTCTCAGGTAAGGATTAAAAATAATACTCTTAAATCCAAAAATGAATACTTGTATGTGACAAATGAATTGGACACTAAATTTACCTGGGAGTAAATGTGACACTAAGTGCAATTAGAAATAATTTACATGATTATTTGGCATTTCAGTAAAACATGCTATGCTTAAAATAAAGAATTGTGCAAGGATAAATTAAAGGGTGAACACTGCAAGATTTTTTGTGAAAGCAAATATTTAAGAACTAAACAACCATTAGTAGGATAAATGAGGTTAATTCAATGATGAAAAACTCATACATTAAATTATGTATACTATAGAGCATAAAAAAGAATGATACAATAATACTGATGGCTACCATTCCTATAATATCTTGTATGTGTCAGGCACTGTGCAGAGTGTTTTACATATGTGAGCCCCTGTAAGTCTCATGCCTACAGGATGAGGTAGGTGGTGGTGTTTTCTCCATTTTACTGAAGAAGAAACTGAAAGTCAGGCAGGTTAAGGACTTCCCCCAAACTACAAAGCCAGTAAGTGGTGGATGTAGAGATGTAGAAGAACAGCATGGTATTTCATAAAGAGAGAAAAAAACCAAGGCACAAAGGAGATGCATGTAATTCACATTTCTGTAAGAAACAGTGTGTGCTTGTATGTGCACATGTGTTTGTAAATGGGAAAAATATCTCCTAGTAAATATAGGCCATACTACTATTGAGTGGGATTTGGATATTGGAATTTCTACTTTTTGTCTGTTACATTATGGTATTTAAAAAAAAATTTACTTCAATTATATATATATATATATATTAATTGTAGTTCACAATTGTAAATACCATATTACAATGTAAAACATTTTCAAGTCCTTTTTCACACCTATGTTGTAGATAGCACTAATTGCAAAGATCTGTTATTATCAGTGGTAATTATAATTATTTAGGTTATTTGAAAAATATTATTTACAATCAAAATTAATATATAAAAATATTCGATGGATTTTCCAGTTAGTAAATTGCCTTCTACATTTGCTGCATTGATTTCCTTTCTTTAGTCCATCCCGCCCTCAATCCTTCTCTCACATCTTTCATGTCAGAGTTTTCTTATTTGAGTGAAACAAGTTTCAGACATCACCACCTGGATTTCAGTTTTTGAAGTTTAGTTAAGTACATGAGGATGTTGCCAAGAATCTGCAACTCTGCTTGCTCAGCTGAGACTAGCCTCAGTGTGGGAGTCTTCTTGTCCTCAAGGGTTAGAGAGCACAAAACTTCAAACTTCCTACTGTAAACAGTTGATACTAAATAACATTATTCACAAATGTCACATGATCTCACGCATATGTGGAATCTAAAGAACATAATAAACTGATGAACAAAATAGATCCAGTGACTCAGAAGTATGGAACAGACTGAGGAATCTCAGAGGGGGGTGGGGGTGGGGAGGAATTAAGCAAAGAGTTTATATGTATATATGCGTAACCCATGGGCACAGACGACAGTGTGGGGAAGGCCTGGGGAGGGGGGTGGGTGCAGGATGGAAGGGGCAATGGGGAAAAAAGCGGGCATTTGTAATATTTTCAACAACAAAGATAAATTTCAAAAATAAAATAAAATAGCATTCACTCATCTGGCATTCAATATATATTATTTATGACACCATTCTCAGTTTCTTTCAGGAGATTTTAGAAATTAATATTATGCATCTCACCCCTCCATCATGTTATAGTATGACAAATTAATTTCTATGAAAACTGACACAGGAAAAGTATAATTTTGTTGAGATGTGAAATATATTATGTAATGAATTTGAGAGATAAAACACTTTGAGAAACCTTTTAATAATTGTTTCAAAAATGCTAAAACTGTGTCTAAATATATTTCATAAATTTTTGTTGCTGTTGTTTTAATTAATAGATGTTTTTGCTTTTTTAAGGGACAAAAATAATTTCCTAAAATATGAGTGTTTATCAGAGGGATATAAGGACTTAAGCAACGATTAGTCAGTATTTTCTAGATACTTTTACATGTTTCCTATGACTTGAGTCTCAACCTGCAATCATTTCTTTAATAAGCAAAGTAATATGTCCATTGTTCTGCTAGATTAAAAAGTCATAGATGCAAATATAATAGAATATGCATCATTTCCTTTGGAATTTATGAAACCTTTGCACAGTTCTCTAAAGGATGAGAGAAAAAAAATCAAGCAATCTTTGATAAACAATGTAAAAAATTCCCCAAAGAAATCACAAGGCTTTTTAAATTTATTTTTCTTTAAAAAATATTTTAAATATGCAAAGGTATTCCTTATCTGTCCCTTAACTTTAGCTATTCATAAACATCCACTGCATAAACCAGAAATAAGTCTTATTCATGAATTAATTTTATCCTTTGTTGTTAGAAAAAAATATAAAATTAAAAATAAAAAGAGAAACAGACACTGAGTTAACCTGAAATAGGATACCCCCATAAAAAATTTTTATAACCTAATATAAATATTAAAAAGGAGTAATGAGTATTCTAAAAACTATATATCCACATAATATAAAATTCTGAAAGGCATAAAACCATGTTAAATAATTGATATTTTTCTAAAAGGCACTCACATTTTCCTTTCTTTTATTCAGACAGATACACACAAATAATGCCATTATCCACTAATTTTACCTTAATAACCACATATTCATTGATGCTGTATTATATCAGCTTCAAGAAAAATAAGTAAGCCAACTGCCATTAATGTTAAAAAATATAGACAATGCTACTTACCGACATATAGGACCAGTTTTGTCCACTACACAAGTCCCACCATTTCTGCAATAAGCTATTGGACACTCTAAAAAGAAGCATCAGAGAAAACCACAGTTAATTATAAATATTATTAGCAAGAAGATGGTCATATCACTGTTAGTCATTGCATTAAATCTAATCACTGAGAATACACTGCTTTGTAGTTGCTAAAAGCACAATAAGTCTCCTAGGCTACTTTGTAGCCCCAAATTTATCCACTGGCGTTGCTGCCTGGGATGTGTTCATTCTCTTCTTGAGCCCTAGAAAAGTGGACCAAAAAAGACAACTCTCTTCTTCCCTGGATTAGGAAATGTGATTTGCTTTTCCAAGGGCATATTCCCCACCTTGCCTACCCTTACTCCCCCCTATTGAACTAATCACAGTAGGGAACAAGGTGCTGAAGAATTAAGAATTTTACTCCTCAGGCACCAGGAGGCAGGCTCAACCAAACAGAGCAGATGTGAAATTTCCTTCATAAACAAGGAATTAGCTGGTTTGATTAAAAATATGACAAAGCATAAATAGATACAATCCTTGTTTGATAAAACATTTTACGGTTATTTTTGGTCTTAAGTACAATTTTAGTCTTTCTTAAATAAGAGGGGTTTTTTTAGTAAAACACCAGATGCTGTAAAGTATGAAAATGCACACAGATGCACATTTTTTCCTGGGGTCATTAATTATTACTTTGATTGCAGTGAGTGGCACAGAGGCCAGCTTTTGGTATGTACTTTCTTGAGCTGAATAATGGAGCACCGAAGAAAGAAGAGCGGCATTGGTCAGAACAAGAAGTGAATCCAGGTATTTTGGAGGAAAGAAGATTTGCAGATTAGCTCTAATGAGTTCTTTTAAATTTCTGCCTTCGAGCCAGGTTCTTTATTCATGAAATGGAAAGGCACAGTACACAGTATTTTCATCTTTAATTTACTCAAAACAATTTAAAGAAGATGGTAGATGAAATGGAGAAGGAGAATGAATAGGACTAGTTAGTGATGAAGAGACTAAATATATCTCCAGTAGAGAAGTAGGTAGTTCACTAGATTGGAACTAGAAATTTATAGGGTTGATTTGAGAATTAGCACAGGCTCCCGTGCTTTTTAGCCGCATTGATATATCACTGCCTTGTACCCATTTGCATTGGTTATTATGACCATGTGTCTGGAGGTCATTGCAATTCATGGCTGACTTTGTAGAAAGATCATTCTTTGAAAAATTCAAGTTCGGGCCCCCTGAGGTGCATCACTTTGGAAAAGTAGGAACACCTATAAACTGGACAAGTGATCAATGTAAAAACACAGCTAACTTTTAAGCTTAAATGTAAATAATTTGCAACTAGGTACCTATCTTTGTTGTTGCTGTTGTTTCTCTCAGTGTGTATAGAGACTAAGGAAGTGCCAGCTATGATGGGGTGGATTGCTGGGAAGACATAATCATGTGAGTCCTGATTTTCCCTCCATGGTACCTACTCACTTAATAAGTTGTGCGACTTTGGGCTAGGAACTTTAGGTATAAGGTTCTTCATGTTTAAAGTGAGGATTATGCCCGGCTGGGCGTGGCTCAGCGGTTGAGCGTCGACTTAGGATCCAGGCGATTGGGGTTCGATTCCCGGTCAGGGCACATGCCCGGGTTGCGGGTTTGATCAATGACTCTCATCATTGATGTTTCTCTCTCCCTCTCCTTTCCTCTCTCTGAAATCAATAAAGATATATTTTTTAAAAAATAAAATAAAGTGAGGATTATATCACCTCCTTTATAGGGCTGTTGAAGGATAAATTAAATTTATTTTTAACATCTCTAAACTAGTCAATGGTATGCATAGATTTAAAAATAATTGTTCCCATCCATCCTTCCCTTTGGGGGTGTTCTTTGAACTTGCCGTGAAATCTAATTTTCATTACCACTGCACTCTCCAACTTCTCATCTATCTCCCCCACCCCCTTCTGTCATGGGCACCAGCACCACTGCCATTTACTGCAGATCTGCTCTATGTCATAATCTGTCCTAAGAGTTTTACCAGTGTTACCTCATTTAATTCTCATGATATGATGTGGTACATCCCATACTTATCCTTTCTTACAGAGGGGGAAACTGGCTCATAATATAATGCTCAAGTTAACAGCAAGGAAGCAGCAGATATTGAACTAAGTTCTGGTGCTCTCACTCCAAAGCCTGTCAATTTAGAAATGTTGAATGATTTGCTATTCAGCTCAGAATTTCTATAACCCCTTGCAGTTCGTGATGTTATGGGATCATGAACCCTTTGAATCATACGGTATTTGTGCATTGCCATGGATTAAATACCCATATACACAACAAACAGCAGAGGAGTTTCAGGAGCTGTCTGGATTCTAAAAGTCCACCAGGAAGCTAGGACAGCAAACCAGGTTCCCAGTTGGCAGTGATTGCTCTCTGTCTCTTGAAATCCCAGCACAGGGACTGCAGAAAAGATTAACTGCTGCTAAGAAACTGGAAATAGCTCCACAGGACTTGCATAAGAAATTTTTGTTTGGTTTTCAAAAACCTTCTGAAATGTTATTTAGCTATATTATTATCATTATTATTCATATATTAAATTATATTCATAATATTCCATCCTATAAATTTATATTTTAGTGCCTTTTCTTAATTCACTTTCAAATAGCTGATTATCATAATTATAGTATCACCACTGCATAACCTTTATTAACCTCTACTACTGCAAATGACTGGAAAAGGACTTTCAACTTAAATTAAGATGGACAAATTCTGTTCAATGATTTCCTGTTGCATAAGCAGCCAAACTTGAAAATAATATGTCTTTCTAGTGAAAGTTGGGAACAAGGCTCAATGGAAATACTTAACCTGCAACATCCATACATTGCCTGAGCTTGATGTTCTTGTTAATGACTTAAACCTCCAGGTGAAGGGAAACCAGCTGCTCACCACCTGTTGGGTGACCACTGGGAGAATTATTGGATGCTGTAAGGACTGGGCTCATAAAAGTCCATGAAATGCTTGGCCTTAAAGGAATATGATGCTTGAAAGAAACAGGAAGGTGTAATGGGCACTGACACATTTTAGCGTGGATTAGCATCAGAGGTATTCTTAAAAACAGAAGCCTTGGCTTTATTATGTTTGATTGACAAACTGAAAAGCAAATAAAATATAGAGAACACATAATATGGATTTTATTTCTGAAAATGGTTTCACTAGTTCTTTATTTTACTTTAACCCAAAAGCTGTGGCAATATGACCTATATGTTTAAATGAACTATAAATGAATTGGTGAGTGATTAAAATAGATGGGGCAACAAAACTGTATCCTCTATTATTACCTACAGGATGTTTGTCACTTAGTATGAATGGCAGGTCTTCTGCTTTTCTGAACATATTTTTAAAGGTAGGACATTTAAAGCAGACAATCAACTATGGTATATTATATTATATTTGTTCTCATATAAAATTATCCTAAAGAAAAGCTCACCTTTATGTAAATAAATTTGAGTATTGGACATAAGTGCTATGTCTTAATAGTTTCCAAGAATGGAACTGCCTTATTAATATCTTCCTGACTATCTGAAAAGAGAGCAAGAGGATTTACTTTTGGTGTCTAATTGGATGTATGTGAAGGCATAGTAGAGAAATAATGCCAAAGAACATTTATCTTTGCCTATTTTATGAGGCTAGATTTTTTTCACATCTTAATTTTCTTTCGTATTCGTAAAATTTAGTGTCGTGTGAATATTCCTTTTCAGCAGTGCAAAAAAACATTTCATACACTATGATTGGATTATAATTGTTGTCACTTATAATATCCTTCTTTCTTGAAAGATACAAAGAATATAGTCTTACAAAGATAAAAGAATATAGTTTTGATATAAAATGTCTGCAATTTATTTAGAAAATATGATTGAATACACCTTTTATCACCAATTTATATTATTTTTTAGTTGTGACAGATTTAAATTGCCCCCTAACGACCTGTTATTTTATATATCTCCTGTATGAAATAAAATTTCAGTTACTCAGGATGGGTGTTAACAATGGGCTACAAAAATTAGAGCATTTTAAGCAGTTTTGACTAAAGCATAACCACAAATACACAATATCAACTCTTATAAATGTTTCAGTTACTCAGGATGGGTGTTAACAATGGGCTACAAAAATTCGTCTATTATATAAACCAAGCAATTTGCATCAGATTATTAAATACTAATAACCTTAAATTATAGCAAGTTAAAATTAAGTATTTGATTTTTTATTTTAAAACATTTATATAGAATAAACAAGTTCATTATATTATATATTTGTAATATTTATTATTTTTTAAGATTTCTTAAATTGACTTTTAGAGAGAGAGAAGAAGGGAGAGAAAGAGGAAGGGGAAAGAGAGAGAGAGAGAAAGAGAGAGAGAAATGTCGATGTGAGAACAATACATCTATGGGCTGCCTCCTGCACCCCCCTACTGCGGATGGAGCATACGCTGGGCATGTGTCCAACTGGGAATCGAACTGGTGAACTCTTGGTTCATGGGGCAACACCCAACTAACTCAGCCACACAGGCCAGGGCTATATTTGTAATATTTAAATGTCAACATTCTTCCTGCCCCCAAACCAATAATAGAAATGCAATTATTCCCTGCTTTCTGTTATTTGAATTTCAAGTTTTACTGTTATTATGGTCTGCAGATTAAGTTACTGTCTTATATTGTAAAGGAATACCTGAGCAACTGGACTCGTCAAGTTGGAAGTCCATGCAGTTGGCAAAACCATCACAGCGCTGGTGAACTGGGACGCAGCTGTTAGAGGACGTGCACATCAAAGCTCCATCAGAACAGCGGATGTTGGCTGGGGAAAGAACAACCATCATCATCTTTTTCTTAAAAGAATTTTTTCCAATGAAATAATAGTGTATTGTATCATCCCTCATTTTTCTAGTCCTATATTTAAATTATATATTAAATCTAATAAATTAAAAATTTCTTCAAAGAGAAGTGTATTGATGGAGTCATTTCTCAGTTCCGCATTATGAATGTATAAAACACATCATATGTACTATGTGGTCCGAATTAATTTTAGACTAGAGGCAAATTTATATCAGGGAAGATCTCTGTTGCTCCCCTAATGTCTCTGATATTATGTGCAGTTGAACTGATAGGTACTGTTGCTCCCTTGAATGTTCATTTTCCAACTGAGTTATTAGTCATGAGTGGGGGCAAAGCACCTGTTAGATCTGGGTGATGATGTCGGTCACTGCAGCTCCACGTACTAGGACTGTATGACTTTATAGCATTGTGTTAGTGCGTGATATAGGTATTTTACAAATCCCAGAGTCTCTTGTTAGCCTGACATCAAGAAACAAGCATAAGTCTTACTCATAGGCTGATTGTTTCGGAAAAATGTCTTCATTGATGCCTGTCAAGGGTACTGCCAGTTCAATGGCANTAAATTGACTTTTAGAGAGAGAGAAGAAGGGAGAGAAAGAGGAAGGGGAAAGAGAGAGAGAGAGAAAGAGAGAGAGAAATGTCGATGTGAGAACAATACATCTATGGGCTGCCTCCTGCACCCCCCTACTGCGGATGGAGCATACGCTGGGCATGTGTCCAACTGGGAATCGAACTGGTGAACTCTTGGTTCATGGGGCAACACCCAACTAACTCAGCCACACAGGCCAGGGCTATATTTGTAATATTTAAATGTCAACATTCTTCCTGCCCCCAAACCAATAATAGAAATGCAATTATTCCCTGCTTTCTGTTATTTGAATTTCAAGTTTTACTGTTATTATGGTCTGCAGATTAAGTTACTGTCTTATATTGTAAAGGAATACCTGAGCAACTGGACTCGTCAAGTTGGAAGTCCATGCAGTTGGCAAAACCATCACAGCGCTGGTGAACTGGGACGCAGCTGTTAGAGGACGTGCACATCAAAGCTCCATCAGAACAGCGGATGTTGGCTGGGGAAAGAACAACCATCATCATCTTTTTCTTAAAAGAATTTTTTCCAATGAAATAATAGTGTATTGTATCATCCCTCATTTTTCTAGTCCTATATTTAAATTATATATTAAATCTAATAAATTAAAAATTTCTTCAAAGAGAAGTGTATTGATGGAGTCATTTCTCAGTTCCGCATTATGAATGTATAAAACACATCATATGTACTATGTGGTCCGAATTAATTTTAGACTAGAGGCAAATTTATATCAGGGAAGATCTCTGTTGCTCCCCTAATGTCTCTGATATTATGTGCAGTTGAACTGATAGGTACTGTTGCTCCCTTGAATGTTCATTTTCCAACTGAGTTATTAGTCATGAGTGGGGGCAAAGCACCTGTTAGATCTGGGTGATGATGTCGGTCACTGCAGCTCCACGTACTAGGACTGTATGACTTTATAGCATTGTGTTAGTGCGTGATATAGGTATTTTACAAATCCCAGAGTCTCTTGTTAGCCTGACATCAAGAAACAAGCATAAGTCTTACTCATAGGCTGATTGTTTCGGAAAAATGTCTTCATTGATGCCTGTCAAGGGTACTGCCAGTTCAATGGCAACCTAGTCCTGCAATGTACTGGGCTTCCCTTGGATGCTCCCTTAGGCCTTAAACTGTATTGCTGGTGTTCCTCCCTCTTGTTTGCTAGTCTCTTTAAGATTCTGGCTTCCGCTAAAGCAGCAGACTATGCTGTAGACTCCTTTTACGAGTTAGGGCTGAAACAGAACATTTCATTCCAGGCTGCCATCATGTACCTCTATTCTCCTGATGACTTGAAAACCTGGAAATCAGCAGATCTGGGTTTCAGGCCTGATCTCTGTTTTCACTGGTTCTACCTCCATTTTGCACCAAACCAATATTTAATGTCTCCAAGCCTTTTTATGTGATAGCTCTTCTATCTAGCATTGCTATGTGTTTGGAATAGAGGGAAAGTGTCAAAGCATGAACCCACTGCACCATCTTCTCAAAAATACTAGATAGGTTTAGAAAGCAATAAATAATAATGATATTGGTCTACACTGTTTCTGCACCCCTGTTCATCTGAGTCATATAATGTGGAAGACGGCAGTGAACAACCAGGGCTTTCTGGGGCTTAACCAAGTTCAATGAGAACAGCTCTGATTTTCTTCAATAAACTTAATGGTATCATATACAATATCCTATTTGAACATTTTAATCCAAACCTAATGATAAAAATTTAAAAAGGATTGATTTGGGAAGTAACTTCTATTAGAATTAAGACAATTTAGTTCAAACTTCTTAAGCTAAATGGACAGTTTAGAAGCCTCAAGAATAGAAATCCCCATGTATGGTTCTTGCACATATTTTGTCAGTTATTTCACAAATATATTTTTCTTTAAACATATTTATGGGCTGGAAGGAATTGTTTATTTAGTTATCATAGGATATCGGCAGTTTAATTTTAGAATTGCCTATCAAAATTTACTTTCAAGTTGGATATAAAAAATGATGTTTTTAGGAGTATGTATTTCCATTATTAAAATGCTGGTTCTGAACAATTAAAGTGACACTCTTCACTCAGCAGTCCTTCCTGAAGTGCTTGAACATCCATTCAACACCAATAAATATTATTAAGCTGTCACTACATGTAAGACACTGTGCTTAGCACTTCAACTGAAGGACACAGGGGAGGCATTTTTAAAAATAGAAATCAGGACATATAAAGCAACAAAAGCAAGATAACAATACTAAAGTGATCAACAGTTCAAAATAATACTAAAAGAAATGCCATAAGGCCAGAATTAGTTGGCAAAGCATTGGAGTAGATAAGCATTTTAAAAGCAAGAGATTCCTTTAGTGTAGGAAGGTCTGTAAAGGCTGAAAGTAAGAGTAGTCTTGAGATGTGCTTTAAATTTTAATGTTTCCAGAGAAAAGCCATTTAGCACAGTGGGAATAAATCTATAGACTGACTGAGAATCAAAAAATTTGATATTGAAACTGTGAGTAAAGCAGTTTGCCTTTGACTGGGGAACTTGTGTAAGAAGGTGGTGCAGAGAAACTTACAAAACAAGGTTGAAACCAGATTTCTAAGGTCCCAAGAAAAAAGATAATCTTTAAGCTTCTCCAAAGGGTTAAAAGATTTTAGGGTATACATTGACAGGATAAGTCACATTGCGCACCAAGTAAACTAGAAAATAGCATAATTTCGAACTCATAAGATGAAGAGATGCTTGTAAAATAGCATGTATTATGAATGCATCTCTATATCCACATGTGTATATGTATAAAATATATACATATTTTATTATCATTTTTTTTGTATTTCAAGGGGCTGAGAAACAATATAAGATGATAGTTTAAGGTTTTAAATAATATAATATGTTGCAATTTGTATACAAATATAATAGATACTACTCATCTATTGTAAAGCATTATTTTGAACTCTTCTGTCAGAAATACTAATCCATTCATATGCTTCCACCATATTTCCAGTGGGACTGATAGCTTATTTTTTTTTAAATTTTATTTTTTGTTTAAAATATTACAGATGTCCCTTTTTCTCCCCAATGACCCATTCCACCCCGTTCCTTCCCCCTCCCCAGTCCCTCTCCCCACCATTGTCAATGTCCTTGGGTTGTGCATATATGCATATAAATTCTTTGGTTACTCTCTCCCCTTCCACTCACCCGCCCTCCTCCATCCCTCTGACATTCGTCAGTCTCATCCATGCTTCCATGTCATTGAATCTATTCTGTTCATCAGTTTATTAAGTTCTTTAGATTCCACGCATAAGTGAGATCATATGATGTTTGTGTTTCTCTGCCTGGCTTATTTCACTTAACATAATTTTCTCCAGGTCTATCCATACTGTCCCAAAGGGTACGGCATTCTTCTTCTTTACAGCTGCATAGTATTCCATGGTGTAAATGTCCCACAGCTTTTT